TGGGCGCCATTAGTTGCACGAAGCGTATCAAAACGGTACTCGATTTCTTGCCACGTTCGCTGTAGCATAGCCTCATTAATGGTGGCAATGGCAACAGTGATCTTTTGCTGTACATCAATGATGCCTCGTATCTTCGTTCAATACACGATAGCTTTAACATAACCCCATAAAAGAAGTCCAAGGGAGTGACATCTGGTGAATGAGGTGGCCAGGGAATTGGGCCATCCCTTCCAATCCACTGCTCTGGAAATATTAGGAATTCATTTAACAGTACATCTGTCATCAACAGGATACCTGAAATAAACAAATGTAATGCCATTAAAAATTTTGATAACTAGGCATGGTCCGTTACAAAAACACACGTAAACCAAGAGATAGCTTATTCCTAAAATTTCGCTTGAAGATGAAACGGGACTAAACACTTCAATTCAACTTAATTTTAATAATTATTGTGATAGTTTCGGCTCTCGCTTTTGAAACATGAGAACTCTTATGTAGCAAGGAATCATATTTTAAACAATATTAATATATATATATATATATATATATATATATATATATATATATATATATATATATATATATATATATATATATATATATGAAAGAAATATAGTCTTAAAAGTGTGCTATATATATGGGATAAGGTGCTCAACATCAGGGATAGAGGTATATATATATACATATATATATATATATATATATATATATATATATATATATATATATATATATATAACGAAAAATGAGGAAACGCGGTAGTTAATTGGTGAAACCTCTTACAAAAGTTCGTCTACGAAACTCTGGAGTTGAGGTGCTGAATATACCATCAATCAGATAAATGACAAATGTTATCTGTATTAATCCTATATATATATATATATATATATATATATATATATATATATATATATATATATATATATTTTGAAAATATTTTTTGAAGGTACAAAATCTAATTACAGAAATAAAAGTGCGTAGCTTAAAATTACAAGACATTTTAAAAGCAGAAGCAACCGGTTTCGCATTTTAAAAAGCTTCAGGCCTCAACCAGGGAGATTTAACTTTAAATTAAAAAACAACATAAAATCTGTAATGAGAAGGAAAAGGGAAGAAAATAAAATTGAACACAAAGAGCTAGAGACAAATAACAGCGAGCCCCAACAAACATTCACGCTGTTTACACAGGGAAGCCTTGCAGGACCCGATATAAAATGCCTCCAGCACCTTGATGAAATAACTAGTGCGAGCGTCCCGGTCGCAATAGTTATTTCATCAAAATGTTGGAGGCATTTGAACAATGAACCAATCAGTACTAATATATATATATATATATATATATATATATATATATATATATATATATATATATATATATATATTAAAGAAAGAATAATAGGATTTGGGTTTACTCAGAGAATATAGTTTTCACAGGGAACCCTCTAACTGCCAACAAGAACAATACCCGGAAGGGTGATTTCCACTTCATTGTTTATTTCTCGTCTCGTTGAAAAAGAACACAGGCGTGTCCGAAAATTCCGACATTAAAATCTTTCTCTTTGTGACGGAGATGGATAGATAGATCCACGCACACGCATATTAAATGGTATCAAAGATACTTTTACAAATTTGGGGGGTTGTTCCTCACTCCAAAACAAGGACAAAAGTCCATATAAACATATGGCGCTGTGTTTGCATGGAGACTAGATTAAATTTGTCATTCGTGTACATTTGTGGCTTGTCCGATTTCAACTGAGAAGTGTTCTGTTTGACAATGACAGGATATTCATATCGTGAGCGGGCAGATATGATTTTTTACATACGGCTACGCGATTGATCATGGACGCGAGGCTGCACGGCTGTATCCAATTGTGTTTCTAGACCGAAGGCAGCCGAGTCATTCAACCTTTGCTGCTGTTTATCGTCGCGTTGTTGAGACAGGACCCGTGGCATCACAAATTATGGAACGAAGCAGAACGAGATCCGTTCGTTCGCCTGACCACGAAGAACACATTCTAGGGTCTGTGGGAAACGATCCAAATGTCAGTACACGTCTCCATGGTACAATATAGGCTAGTATGCGCGTGTAGAAGTAAGCAAGAAGATATTCTGAACATTTGTTATGAGTTGCTGTGTTGAGATGCAACGATGGCCTTTTGCGGAGATATGTTTATATGGACATTTGATCTTGTTTTGGCATCAGGAACCCGTCCCCATATTTGTAAAAGTATTTCTGTACATCATATATATATATACACAAGTATATGATTGGTGTATACGGAATAAATTCCAATAACCAACAATTACTATTCTTAAAAGAGTGCTCAATACAAAGTAGAGCAAATATAATTATTTACTCGAAAATTATAACATGTTATAAAATCACTACAAAAATAGTCATTTTGTTTCAACACCTCCGGTGTCTTATCAAGTGATGATGCTGAATGTAAAAAAAACAATTTCATTACTTGATAAGACACTGGGGGTGTTGAAACAAAATGGCTATTTTTGTGGTGATTTTATTATATTTATAATTTTTTAAATAAATAATCATATATATATATATATATATATATATATATATATATAAAAAGTTGCAAATTAAAAAAATAATAATGTTTTTTATGAAAGTATTTATTTATTTATATATACTTTCATAAGAAAACATTATTATTTTTTTTAATTTTCAACTTTTCCTATATATACTTATTAAGAAATTATGCTATATATATCTGTGTGTGTATATATATAAAAGGGGCGTAAGGTTTTAATAATTTGTATCAATATCAATATTGATACAAATTATTAACACCTTACGCCCCTTTTCTTTAAACAATTTCTCTAGCCGTTACCATAGAAATTTTGATTTCAATAATGAATATGCTTATAAAACGCATAAATTTCAGAAATAAGTTATTCCAAAAAGTTTCGCTTGAAGATGGAACAGAGCTTAGTACTTTAATTCAATTTAATTCAAATAATTATATTGACGTTTTAGGCTCTTGTTTTTGAAACATGAGAACTCTTATGTAGCGTGTTGGAATCATATTTTTAAATAAATAATTATATTTATGCTCTACTTTTGTATCGAGCACTATTTTTTTTTTTAAATAATAACAAAAATAAAGAACTTTGGAATTATTTACCTAACGAGCTCTTTCCTATTTTCTATATTTTCTCACATATATATATATATATATATATATATATATATATATATATATATATATATATATATATATATATAGGTGTTTGAAAAGTAACTCCCCACTAAATAAGTGTTTATTTGGCATAGTGTTTGTCCCTTGGCCAAGCCTCTCGTTCCTCGTTTCGTCAGCGATTCCCACTCGTCAGGTAAGTGGCTCGCTGCTATTCCCTATCTCTCTTGCCCTCAATATGCCCCGTGAAGATTAAATTCTCCAAACCTTCCTTTCTCGATATGTATCCAATAAATTTCAGCTGACTCGTTTTCTCGAAATTGTTCTATTTTTTTTTACCATTTTTGTTTAAGACTTTCTTGTTTCTTACGCGCCCCGTTCATTATTTCGATCCTCGCTGTGGGCATCGGTTTAAAGAATTCTTTATTTAGCATAGGGTTTCTTTACTTTTATAAGGGCCTCAAGAATTTAAAGCTTTTTTTAAAGTAGCGTAATATATATTAGAAGTGAATTCTAGTAGAAACATTCTTGATTTGTTTTTTTTGTTTCTAATTTTGAAAGTGTCAGATCTTGATAATGACGAAGTGTCGTGTACAACTGAAAGAATTAAAATGAAAGCTGCAAAGAGAGCTATTTAAAATATTTCATGTGTGGTCTGTAATAAAATATGTTCTAATGAAAGATTGCTTTATAAAGACACATTATATATATATATATATATATATATATATATATATATGAAGAAGTATAGTTTTAATGTGTACTACATTTACGGGATAAAGTTCTCAATATCAGAGATAGAGCATATGTAAATATAAATATAAAATTGAACATTGAGGTCAACACTCAGAGGCGACAGGCTGTTTCATGCTAGACGCAATCGTTAGGCCGCCTGACAATTGCGTCTAGCATGAAACAGCCTGTCGCCTCTGAGTGTTGACTTAATGTTCACTTTATATATATATATATATATATATGTGTGTGTGTGTGTAAAAATATATAGAAAATAGGAAAAGAACTTTTAGGTAATAATCCCAAATTCTTTTGTATTTTTATTATTATTTTTTAAAATAGTGCTCGATACAAAAGTAGGGCATGAATATAATTATTCATTTAAAATATGAATCATATTTTAAATAAATAATTATATATATATATATATATATATATATATATATATATATATATATATATATATATATATATATTAGTGAAATAATATGACAAAGCGGTCGCTTTTTTCATGATTTGTAACTTCAAGCTAATCAGTTTTCGCAAAACTGTCTACTGACATGTTTTGTTTGTAATCACAGGTTTGTAGTTTCTAATAATGCTATGTATAAGTACACAGGTGAGCGAGAGACAAAAAATGTATTTGAATTATTGCTATTACGAGCTTCCGTAGTTAATACAGACTAATAAAAAAAGAAACTCTTCAAGTGTCTCATACATATTTCGTGATCGAAAACTGTACATTCAACAAATGAAGCTTATAAACGCTTGTGTGATTAAAACAAAAAGATTTCGTTAAACTTCCGAAATGACACAACTAATTTTTTTGATAGGTTTCAATTAAAACGACTTCAACATTACGACATTTCAGTCCCAATACGATTGCCTTCATCCAAACATGGAAGTGAAATACTCTTTCTCGTTTTCTTTGCTCAATCTACGTGAATTGGGGCTGATTTGAGAATCTGTAGCTTACGGCCACACCCCGTTGAAACGCCGATTTGCTTACGATCACCGAAATTAAGCAACGTCGAGGCTTGTCACTATCGGGATAGGCAACCGCTTAGGAATACCAGGTGCAGTCAGTTTGGATATGCTGTTGGTATGGCGTACGGTCACATCAGTTTGAAACACCGGTTCCCGTACGATCACCGAAGTTAAGCAACGTCGAGGCTTGTCAGTACCTAAATAGCTGACCGCTTGGGGAATACAAGGTGCTGTAAGCTTTGATGTGCAGGTGGTGTAATGGAAAAATGTTTGGAATTGTTAATCGGAGAGCCGAGTTCCAATTCCAGTTGACTTTGTTATATTCATTTAGACGCAAATAGCCTTGGGAAAGGTATGTATCCATCTCGTATCCCCCCCAGTTATGGGTTAATTAGTTAGACGCCATTAAACCATTATTCTCTCCTAAAAAATAAATTCTTACAATCTAAAAATATTTTCTGACTTTAAATAACCTAAAATGGTTGATAATCCGTAAAAAAAAACGAATCAATTAATCAACGAGTATTGGTAAAAATCATCATCAGCAACCGATTGGTAAACAAATCGTAGACACTTTAAACTGAGGCTACAAGACCTTTTCTTTACTATCGTCCAGTCGATACAAGGCCGAAGAATCACTCAAAGTAGATCGTTGCAGAACGCAAATGTCGTAAGCGTGCTGCGGGGGGGAGGAAGTCAGAAGGACGATATGCAAGATTTTCTGTTAAAGAGGTTGAGATTGTAGTGGTCGGGTGTCTGTTCCACAGAATGACAAATAGCTCAAGAAGACTGGCGTATACAACGGCTGAAACACTGTGACGGTGATACTCAACATGTGGACATTTATTCGATTAAATAAATTTTAATAGGAGTAGATAGGCTCGCGCTATCGTCCGGTTCACACTCCTCCATGGTCTTTTGAACAGGTGTAGAGATTTATCCCTTGCTTCCTATTTAGGAGATCGTTTCCAGCTCCTTCTAAAGTCTACGTCAACTTTTAATGTTCCCACCGAAACTATAATTTTTTTTTTTTAATATTTATTTTTCCCTCAATTGGAGTAGATACATTCACATATCGTCCGGTTCACACTCCTCCCCTGTCTTTTGAACAGGTGTAGATGTTTATCCCTTGTATCCTATTTAGGATAGCGTTTCGGTCTCCTAAAATCTACTTCAAATTTTAATGTCCCCACCTAAACTATAAAATTTTATTTAATATTTATTTTTCCCGTCAATCGGAATAGATAGGATCGCCTATCGTCCGGTTTACTCTCCTCCCCGGTCTTTTGAACAGAAGTAGAAGTTTATCCTTTGTTTCCTGTTTATAATTCGTTTTTCGGCCCCTTCTAAAGCTTTCTCGTTATCTGTTGCGACCAGTAGCACCTTGCGTCTTAGTGGCAATATCCCCTTGTTTGGAATGAATTGATTAAAAAATAAGAATTTTTTAATTAAAATCTCAAGGTTAAAAAAAATATCTACGCGAGATATTTGACTCCCATAGCGAATTTAACAAAAAAGAATATCATTCTTTTCAATGAAGAAATAAAAACAAAAGCGAAATGAAACAGTATATTGAAATATTTAACTTGACAAGTTGTACGTCATTAAATTTTGTTATTTTTAGGCTATTTCCTTGCTATCTTTTACATTGGAACCTTAAACAATATGTTAATATCGTCAAATAGAAATTTTCTGAGGTTTATATATTAAAAAAATGGACGAAACGTTACGCAATCAGTGCAAAAATACACGAGATCCTTTTCGAATTTATTCAGCCATTTTTAATATTTCGTCTACCCTTTCTTACGTGCGTTTTTCTCCTTTTCTGGCGAGTGAGTAGGGGGTGGTGGTTTCGAATCATCGTATCGCCCAGTTCTGCCACCCTCACATATATAGTCCAAAAACGGCTCCCTTTTTTTTGGCTTTTCACAAATCTAAAATAGCCCTTGAAAGTACGCTAGAGTTTTCAGGTTATAGAAAAGAATCCGGCGAGAGAACATAGGACTTTTTAGACTCTTTTGAAAAGTAGAAGAGACGATGTGATAGGTTTGGGAGGTAATAAACAGGGAGTGTTTGGAAAGGGACTAAATTATCATTGCTCCAGATGGATACTATTTTTCGTCGATATTAAATGCCAGTAGATATATTTTCTATTTTCAGCGTGTTCAACTTTATTTTGTTATCTGTAATAAATCTAGTACTTCATTGTTTGCAGATATAGTCAGTAAGATTTAGGTGGATTACAATTTAAGATTAACATGTTACAGTGGGGACCACAACTCATTAACACACACACATATCCAAGGTAATGTTATACAGATACGATTAAGATATCACAACGTAGTTGTATAACAAGATTATTCTTAGAAGCGGGCATTGAACGTCTAAAATTAATAGGTTCTTACGTCATAATTTTATAGGGATATTTACTATCAAATTACGTTCTAGTTTGACAGGGATAAACTCGTTTTAAGGGTCTTTCCGCGTGTCCTGCTAAACCAGTGTTTCTCAATCTTTTTTTTTTTTTTTAAACTCAGGGTGCCCTTATAGAATAACTAAGATTCTGGGGTGCATTTTAAATTTTAATTTGGAAAAATTAGTCATGAAATTAATAATGATGTCTCCTGATATAAGCATTTATTTTTAAGACATTATATTGTATTTTTAAGTCTGCTTCTGCGAAACTCGTGCTTGATGTACATTGGCAATTTCTTGAATGTTCGGCCTTATAGTGAGTTTCCAAAGGGTAGTTTAGATGTTGGCACAAGGCCGAAAGTAGGAGTCAAGGATCGAACTCACTACTCGGTCGTAACTGTTCTAGACAATCTTGTTAACCATAACACCGACTCAAGGTGCCCAACTGTTCGGCCTTTTATGTGAAAAAAAATATTCTCATTATCATTTCTAAAGTTTTCATTTAAAGAGACATGAAGAATCTGCTATTTTTTTGTTTTTTTAGAGGACGATGATGACCGATTTAAACCCGTAGAGTAAGGTAAAGGATTATCCACTCCTTAAAGATTATAGAATTTAGCATCCAGTTTGGAATTTCAAATGATAGTTGACAGTTGCGTTTGCGTCATTGGTTTGCTGACATCATGAGCAGGAGACTCCTCCACTCACATGGTGATTTTCCAAGCGTAGCTTAGATGTGGCACAAGGCCGGAAGTATGGGGCACCCAGTGAGGACCGAACTCACTACTCTTCGTAATTGTTCTAGCGAGAAACGCTAGGGTGCCCAAAGAGATTTACAAAGCGTAGACAAAGGCCGGAAGTTGAGGACCGAACTCAACTCTTCGTAATTACACCAAACGCCCATTACACCGGATGATCACGGTGATTTTCCAAGCATAGCTTAGATGTAGCACAAGGCCGAAATTAGGAGGCACCCAGTGAGGATCGAACTCACTATCCAGGCGTAATTGCTTTAGCGAGCCAAGATTGCGAACCATTACACCACCTCGATGTGCCCTCAACTCACATGGTGTTTAGAAGTGCTTGAATGGTCGTCCTTGTATGTGAAGTAAAAGGTACATATGTAAATTAAAAATAGGAATGAATGAATAATCTCCGCCTTATTCACGTGTTGCCACTGTTAAATCAGGACGCACTTGTAGAATAAGGAAAACTCTTGGACACACTTTAAATTTCAGTCAGAAAAACTAGTCATGAAATTAACGGTACAGTTTTCATTTAAATGGTTTTATGAAGAATATGCTTTTTTTTTTTTTATAGAGGACGATAATGGCCGATTTAAACCCGTAGAGTAAGGCAAAAGGGAAAAATTATCCAATCGTTCTTAAAGATTAAGGAATTTAGCATCTAGTTTGGAATTTCAAATGATAAATGATTGACTTAGATATGAAAGCTAGTTTTTTTAAAAAAAAATATAGATTTGTTTTATATACAGTGTAACCCGGATATAAGAGAGTTGTCGGGACCGGATAAGAAGTCTCTTATATCCGGGTTTATCTTATATCCTGGTTTGGTCTAATTTATATACATTAACACAGGCTCTAATTTGGGATCAGAGAAAATCTCTCTTATATCCGGGTCTCTTATATCCGGTTACACTGTATATATATATATATATATATATATATATATATATATATATATATATATAATTTACTCTTTGTTAACTTTGGGCGCACCTGGGTACCTTTCACGGGTTGAGAAACATTGAGCTAGAGGTATAAGTTGTCAGTTTTCATCTGTGTGTGTGTGTGTGTGTGTGTGTGTGTGTGTGTGTGTGTGTGTGTAGAGAGAGAGAGAGAGAGAGAGAGAGATGGGCCTGCAGTCTAAGGGGTGTTGCGTGATGAAAACGCTTTATTATACAAGAAAACTAAGTCTGTAACAAAATTGAAAACCGCCTCGGCCTGGAAATTATGGTAAGCATGCAAATGACACCACCCACAGCCACAAAACGAAAATACACAGGAGACAAACCAGAGCAATATAAATACATTTTGCACACACACACACACACACACAAGCAAAAAGAAATGGAATACACACGTGACCCACGATACAACCATAAACTGTTAAAAAGAAAAAAAAAAAAAAACTTCACCCTAACGACCAACAGACATGCCTTAATGTAGGGGAGTTGGGTATCGCCTCACACACAATAGCGCCACTTTTGTCTACCCGGAGCCACGTTTTTACGGAGCGGACATGATTTTATTTTTACAGCTATGTTTACGAATACTGGAAATGTCGTCAACCCCAACCAGAGCAAGAACTCAACGGTCAGATACGAAGGTAATTCCTGCACGTAGTAATGACGAGTATCTCATTATATCTCCTCTATTTCTTTATCTACCTCTCTCTCTCTCTCTCTATCTATCTATATATATTTTTTTTTCTAGTAGTGTTTTGTTACCTACCCAACAATGCCATCAAAGCTACTGCTGCTGTTGTTGCTGCTGCTGCTGCTGTTACCACCATCGTATGGTGGGTAGGGGGGGATGGAGCTGGGGTGTGGCCAGATTTCACCTTTGGACATTTTATTTTTTTTTAAAACATTTTTTTTAATTAATTAATTTATTTATTTTTGATAATTAAAAAAAAAAATATATATTTGTGTCACACTCTTGCCACGCCCTAACATTTTCTGATCCATCACCAGAGAATCTCGTTTCGTATTAAAGCCACTATTGTCACACTATTTTTAGTCACGGAAAAAAAAACAATAAACAATAAAACATTTCTTATATAGTCGGACAAATCAAAAG